TTCGGGCAACCTCGAAACGACATGATCTCCTGATCCCGGCTCTCACCGAGTCAGTCCTCATGGGTGTCGGTTCGGAGGGGGGGATCCACCTGGCACCGGGGCTTCCCGTGTGACCGGACCGACGTATTGAATCTTCTTTGGTCCGGCTGTCCCTGCAGTCGTTCGGGGGTCCACTCGCGGACGCGGCCTTTTCTCCCATGCCTCGAAGGGGTGAAGGGGGGAGAGAGGAGTTAGGCTTGATGTCCCGCGGGCGACTGTAGCTCGGGCTGCAGGGCCGTCAAGCGATACGGCGAGTCATCACTGTTGTTAGCATGCGTGTCGTTGGTCGAATGGCTTTGCTGACCTCTGATTACGCCCGTCCTGGGTGTTGCCGGTTGGTGATACAGCATCCCTACAATGCATGACACCCTCCCCCATCAGATTGCGTGTTTCCCCTGAACACCATAACCATAGGTGGTGTACTAGTTGGTAGGTATTGTTGCCTTGGTTGGAAGGCACTAGTCTGATGCTTTTTCGAGCCTTTGCCCCGCCAGGTCTCGGAAGGATCGGCAGTTCGGTGGAGGCTAGGGCTAGACACCAACACCTCCGTCCGAAGGTTAATCAGTAACCAAACCTGTACTACGCCTCTTGACAATGAACAGTCAGGCCATTTGGTCTGGTAGCCTCGCCGAGGGACGTTCATGCTGTGCAAATTTCCCTGACCCTCACGTCAGAGTTTACGCATGTTGTTGTATGGGCGCTGCGGACGTGGCAACGTACCCCCTCCGTATCGCTTACAACCCCCCTGGTCTGCCGAACACCAGTGGGATGGTACGTAGGCGAATATCACGTAGGCGAACATCGCGGCCGCAGAACTTTTGTGGACATGTGCCAAGTGTGTCCGTTATTGAGCGACTAAGACACTCTCGAAGGGTCAGAATTAAGAACAGCGCCAGTCCCGCGGTCAATGTCTCTGCACAACGCCCACCCATCTTCTTCGCAACGGCTGCTGTTATTCCAAAAGTCCTGACAAGATGGACGGCGCAACTCCCCTCCCAGCCGATGTGAACCGTGGCCCCGAGATTCTAGGAGTCTGCGGGGCCATGGTTGGCCTTGCTCTGGTATTCGTGGTGCTGCGTGTGTATGTCAGGGTCGCCATCATCCGACAGCTGGGCTGGGATGACTATTGTATGATTGTTGCCATGGTACGTCCTATCAAGATTCTCGCTCACGACCTCTTCGCTTGACAAGAACAAACTAACATGTGCTACCTCCAGGCCGTCATGTTCGCAGAGATGATGGTCATTATACCGCAAGTTGGGTACGGAGCCGGCCGCCATGTCGAGTTTATCGAACCCAAGTCGAATGTGGTCGAAGGCTTGCGTCTCAACTTTGTCACACAGCCTCTCTGCTTGATAGCCCTGTGCCTGACTAAAGTCAGTGTCGGGCTGTTTTTGTTGCGAATGACTCCCTCCGCCAGGTTTAGAAAATTTATCCTGGGCGTGATGGTTTTTACCGTCTTGTCGGCTACAGGCAACCTCCGTGGGTGAACCCCAACTCCAGCTGCCACGAACTGAGAGACGACTAACAGCACAGTGACCGTCTTCTTTCAATGCAGGCCCTTAGCTTATGCTTGGGACATTTCGATTCCCAACGGCCGATGCATCCCACCGGCTCACCTAAAATTCGCAGCCTTCTTCAACTCGAGCGTCTCGGTTGTGACCGACTTTATTTTTGCTGTGCTGCCGGTACCGATCCTGTGGAATGTTCAGCTCAACTGGAAAGTCAAGTCCGCCGTGGCCGCCATCTTGTCGTTGGGCATCTTGTAAGCAGCCCGTTCAACAGATCTCAACGTCGCATCCTTGGGCCCTTTTTACTGACTTGGTCAAGCGCTACGGCGGCCGCCATTGTGAAGATTACGTTCCTCGGCCAGTACGGAAAACACGGAGACTTCCTCTTCGACAGCTCCGATCTCACCATTTGGTACGTGAACAGCATTCAACGATGCCAGTGGATCTGGATGAACATGCTGACACGTCGACTCCAGGACCACCGTCGAGATCTGCACCGCAATCGTCGCAGCCTGCATCCCCTGCCTCAAACCCCTATTCAAAGCCATGCTGCGCGGCTCGTCGGCCGACAAGTACCCTACCGGCTACAAGATCAGGAGCGGCTACACGCGCAACAACACGACGGATCTGGACACCAGGCCCCCGCGCTCCGATTTCGGCAACATTGAGCTGTTCACCCGCGCCAGTACCATACACGAGATCCATGGTGGGTTTGGGCTCAAGAGCGGATCGGAGGAGAGCATCATTCACCAGAAGGATCTCGGGGGAGACGGCATTGTCAAGACTGTCAATATCTCCGTCTCTGTGGACGAGGAGCGGAAGAAGCCGAAGGAGGTCCTGTAAATGTCTGCTGTGCAGAAAATGAACCCTACAATGGCGAGATGGAGCAAAACAGTGCACTACAGCAACCCTAACCTGACGATGCAACCAGAACGAGCTCTGAATGCTGTGCTTTCTTTTGCTGTGGGCAGCAGTCCCAGGTAAGGGCGGCTTTCAAGGTTTTAGCGTCGCTGATCTGCTGACGCTTGGTTCAGCTGGGCCGGGGAACAGACAGGGCCTGGGATCATGCTTGCTTCTGTAGAATCAGACGATGCACGGCCATGGCGGGGAGAAGATCGGCGGCCTTGGCACGCCTTGCGCTGTCGAGCTAAGCTTGGTCCTCTAAACAGTTCCGACGAAGCCGACAGCTCCGAGCGCCAACCAATCGCCCCCATAGCAACGCATTCACTTGAATCCTTATGTACGAACCCATCGTCACGGCCCAGCCCTTGGGTCGAGTAGCAGATATGCTCATGCAAAGTTGCACGCCTTGAAGTGACCCGTATTGATCGCTCGACTGGAGCAGGCCCCGAGTCGGCCGACCTTCCGCGTCGTGCGGGTTCGAAGGCCGCCGGATTCCCGTTCGGGGAAGCCGTCAAAGCTGGTGCCGTACAGCGCGACGGCATGAGCGATGGCCTTGGTATTGATCTCCAGGAATTCGTAACTCATGTTGCCAATGGTGTCGTATTGGGTGTGATAGTTCGGGTCATGAATAATGCCAGCAATTCCTCCGAACAACGCAACCTCCTCCTCGGTCTTGATCTCGTCGGCACCAGTAAACAGACCGCCAGAGGGAATGCCCACATCTAGAAACGGACCGTAGTCTGACCGGCCGGAGAACTCAGTGGGCAGCAGAGGAAGGTCCTGCGATGCGAAGTAATCTTCAAACAGGGCCTCGGCCTCGGCAGAGCCAGGTGGGCCTGAAAGCCCAAAGGCACTTCCGTCACCATCGTAAACGGCAAGGATTCCGTTGCCGGACCCGACCATGTCGAAGTTGAGGTAGAGTCTGACCTTGTCGAGTTCTTCTTGCTCGGCCGTGGCGACGTAGTATGTCGACCCAAGCAGGCCCGACTCCTCGGCCGTCCACCAGCCGAAACGGATGGTTGAATTGGTCACATAACGAGCGAGCTGACGGGCAACCTCGAGGATCGCGATGCTGCCGCTTCCGTTGTCGTTGATGCCTGGGCCCTCGGCAACGCTGTCCAAATGAGCGCCTACGAAGAGAATGTTGTCGGGGTCGCCCCTGGTCGTAGTTGCGATAATGTTATCACTACGGTAGAGGAGGTTAGCTTCGAATGATAAACGCCAACTCTCATGGGTTGGCCTGCATACCTGTACCAGATGTCTCCAGCAGTGGCAGTGTAGAAGCTATCGACTATGATTTCCTCGCCATCTTGAAGCCTGGCTGACAATGCCAGTCCGAGTTCGTTTGAGATGCCTGATGTCGGGACGGTGGGGCCCTCCGGCAGGTCTTCGTAGGAGAGCACGCCGTTGATGGGGGGCGCTCCCGGGACGTAATCAAAGATGACTAGAGCCGCAGCCCCAGCAGCACCGGCGTTGGCTGACTTGAGGGCAAACGAGCAGGAGCCGCCTTGGGGACCTCTCGAGATGAGGCCGATGTTGCCCTCGATCTCAGGAGGAAAGTCTTGCGTCTGCAATTGTTCGTTACAATCATAGTCAAGGCAGTATGTCTGTTACTTACTCCATTACATCCATAGGCATTGACCCAGATCAGTTCGAGCCCCTCAAGTGTGGCGTTCTTGGAGAACTGGAACGTCTGAGACTCCACCTCTTCGCCATCGATAGTCACAGCGCCCTCGTTGAAGAACTCAACAACATCAGCATAGGTTTGACGTTCGACATCGTAGTAGTCGCCCAGAGCTTCGAGGTTCTCAACCACGTAATCGGCGGTCCTGTTGTACCCAACGGACCCAGCCAGGCGGAAGTACTCGGAGTCATAGGCGATATCAGAGAAGGCCTCGGCATGCGTCTTGAGGTTCTCGAGCTTGATGGCGTTTTGCAGTTTCCCCTGCAGCGTCGTTTTAGCTAGAGCATAAAGCATAGGAGGTGAATTGGGTGGCATGTACCGAATCCACAGGCTTCCAAGGGACACACGGCGTTTGCGCAAACACCGAGCGAGCGAGCATCGCCGCAGCAACAGCGGAGGTCAAACACTTCATCATGATAGTCGTATTCTGATTACAGTTGGGTTCTCGAGCAAACAACGGTGAAGAGAGAAAAAATGCAAACAAACAGGGCATGCCACTGAGCCGACCTGCGAACGCACATTGGTATTCCAGTTAGCGTCGAGCTGCTTTTGAAGCTGCTTGACAAGGCTCGGATGACCATGACGACGGCGAAACCCCTGCGCCGTCAGTCGAGTGTTACCCTATCACAACCAGAAGAGATGAGAATATGCTGTTGACCGGTCTGCGGCTCTCAACATGCATCAATTCGACCTTCCGCTTTGGTCATAGGAGGTGAGTTGGGGCGAGGGGCCACGACGACGTGGTGATGCGATCACTGATGAGCTGCGGGTAGCCTCCGCGAAGCTGTGAGCAGCGATGCAAGACAGCGATGCCAGCCTGCATGTCGATTGATTGTGCATGGTGCCGCTGCTAGGAGGACCTGCTGTATGGGGTTACGCAGCGTAGGACGGGGCGCCAGGTGGATAAATTGAATGTGACCTGGACTGGTCGATCCTCTCATTTTGTGATGGGTGGCGTGCCTGACCCTGCCAGAGTCGAAAGCCAGAAGCTCTTCGTTGGGGTTCTTCGAAGCTGTAGCAGAACCGTCGTCGAATCGCGATTCCAGGCTTGCCGTCTCATGCAGACAGCTACACCCTCAAGAAGCGCCACCACTGGCGCCCCCGCATAGGTCGAATAGATAACGGTTCGCGGATTGTCATAGTGCAGATGGGTATTTTGCCGGGACAACCCAAGACCCAGAGACTGCGAGCCGGAGTAACAGGTCCTTCCTCCACGCTGCAGACAACTAGTAAGTGGACGCGAGGGTGTGAACTCACGATTGATGCACCACAACATGCCGGCCAAGGTAGCATCGGCCTTGCCACCTCCGATGACGGGACAAGCAGCGCATGGCAGAAGGTTGAGGGCAATCGGAGCTCTGGCCGTCCCCTCCGGCGGTCATCTGTTCCCCAGCTGTGATGGAAAGACTGCAATGGTGGCGGTTCACCCATTTCAGTAGACAGGCCGGGGAATTGCTGTGTGAACCCCGGGACTTGTTGAAGATTGGCTCTCTGCTTGATGTCGCTTCTACCTCTGGCACAGCATAGATGCCATGTATACTTGCAGGGATGATCCGACAAGGGGGGGCCGCGGGATCGGGAACCATTCCTTTCAGGTGTCCATTTTCCACAACGTTTTGGGGGTCCAATTCACATGGTGTCGTTGAGCCTGGGACCGTAGAGTGTGTCGAGAAAGCACCCCAGCGTTGACCCAAGCAATTGAAGCGAAATCAATCCATACAACCATTCAAGTTTCTGGGTGGAAAGAGTGAAGTATCCGAGAGCCTCGTTTTCAAATTTATCTGCTTAGCAGCTTTAGTAGATAACGCGGCTCATGCAATACTCAGGTATATGCGCTTACGGGCCATAGCCTCTCCATTCTCCACCAACAAGCTCCCTTGACAGACTCTTGGCTCTGGCCATTCGCAGACCACCATCACCATCACAGCCTTGTTTCCTATTTTGCCACGAACACCTCAACAGAGCGGCAAAGCCACCTGTTCACCACCTTTTGTCGTCTTCTCCATCCTCGATTACGACGCCTTACGATTTCGAGCGAGCGCAGCATCCATCCACCCCGCCATGGCGGACGACTTCCCTGACAGCGGATCGAGGGACCGCTCCTACCCTAACAGAGACGACGACGACGACGACAACCATAGCCGCAGGTCGCCTCCTCGCGGACCTCGCGTGCAGTCAAACGACGTTACACACCAACGGTATCAGGACCACAAGGACGGCTACCGGTCTCGGCAGGGTAAAGATCCGAACTGAGCATGCCTTGGCGGAGCAGCGTGATGGGGGTGGACGGGGAGAGCAGATCGCCCGATGAACAATCGGCTGCAAGACATGACCAACTTGGCTTGAGCGTTAGGGCTAACTTCCCCCCGGGCCGACGCGACTATTCTAGGTCTCCCGCGAGGAATGAGCTCTCGTACGACGATGCGCCCCCTGACGACGAGCGGCAGGCGCACGACCCGCGGGACTACTACTACCAAGAGTCCTCTGGCTGGGACGACGAAGGAACCCGCCGCGGCGGCGACCGGGACAGACGGGATCGTGACGGGCGTGGCTGGTCGCGGTCGCAGGCTGGCGATGGGCAGTACGACGACTACCGCGCTTCGGGCCGCCCTGCATCGCCGTCTCGCAAGCTTCAACGATCGCCCACCGATACAATCATCTTGGAGGGCCTGGCGCCAGATCTGACGTCAAACGATGTGAGTCGCCGGACTTTTTCTCCGACCCGTGATGTCGTTCGCCGTCATTGACTGGACCGACCTGGTTGTAGGTTCGTGAACTCCTTGACAAGTCGTGCGACATGTCGCGCTATCTCGCCATCGACGTTCGCCTGCCCCCCGGCCGGGCGAGGCGGGCCTTTGTGCAATTTCGGACACATCGACGACGCTGTGGACTTTATGCAGGCACACCACTCGAGCCTGTCCTTTGATTTTGATGAGGATCCGAACGATCGGTGGCCGGTGTACATGCACTACGCTCGCAGCAGCCGCGACGAACTCGACGCGCGCGGCGTGCGGGCAAGGAAGACTGGATCTGTCTCACGGTGAGCCCGAAAAGACACCGACGACATTTACATCTGCTACATGCTACAGTGCGAGTTTCCAACTATGCCAGCCGCATGA